TTAGGCTTTATCATGTTACCCGCGGCGCCCCTTCTAAACTTGGGAAAATGTAATTCATTTTTACTTTTCTTGCAAATAAACTCAATTATTCGTAATTTAAGCCTATCCTTTGTCAAATTCCACCATTTTTACTTATTCTACATTCCACATTTCTGTTCTAGCCATCCAATGGCACTACTGCTCAATAATTAATCTATTTTTCGGCCGAACTTATTTCACAGTTTCCATAGAACAAATAAAATCAGGCCCAATACGCGTGAATTCATTAGCCGCGAATTTTACTCGCCTGTCTTGCTCTTTTGGAATTATCTAATCTGTAACGGTTATGGCTAGTGAATAACAATGTATTTTTTCTTTCCTTTTCAGCCGTGTACTTAGAAAATCCATCGCTCGTATATACACGGTTATTAACCAAGCCCGGAAGCTCCACCAGAGAGAAATATTCAGTTCCAGGCGTTGGGTACCTAAGGATCTAAGACCAAAGAAAACCAGGGCCATCCGCCGCAGACTATCCAGGAAGGAGCGCCGAATGAAGACACCGAGAGCGCACAGGCTCGCTTCAGCATTCCCTAGACGTATATATGCTTTGAAGCGATAAAATTATATTTACTATCTACTGGTTTACTTACTCTTTTTCGAGGTCTTGTGATCCATTATTCTGGATACTCGTCCTAGTCAATATGAAGACACCCTGCTCAGTTGGTAGCTCCTCTTGCTCTGTTTTCCTCGCAAACAGGTTCTTCGTTTGCTTGACGTATTACCTCATTATCTCATCCAAACCATGACAAATCCATCTGGTTTTCCCAGTTTACCTCTTATTTGCAGTTCCCGGATGTCTATTCTCTCCATTCTGCATCTATAATCGCTCCAGGCAAACCCAATTAGCGCCTCTGGTATACAAAACCGTCTGACCGCTTAGTCGGCAAAATGGGTGGTATTTCAGGTGAAGTGAGTGCGCTGTTTGATTTCTGAGACCCGTTATCTTTCCTTTTTGTTTACTCAGAGCTGCAAATTGAGTTTGTCTCTTGGACTTTGTGTTCATGAGTCCCCTAGTGACCCGGAAGCTAGTATTGGTAATATTGGCATTGCGCGAGTTTCAACACTTATCTCGCGCCAAAGAACTCCGGCTACGACGCAATTTGCTCCGCTCAGCATGTAGTCTGACAAGTAAAAGGCACAATCGTCTGGCTCATAATCATTTACCACACTGTGAAGGCTCTCGAGTCGCCTTTGAACTCTGGCGGCAGCGATTACTCTTGGCTAACCTACACGCTCAAGAAATCATCCTACCTATGACCTTATGTCAGCCTTGGTGTGTACACCATCGCTTAGTTGTATACTGTGAATTTTATGCGTGCGTATGGGCGAAGTCAATGCTGGCCTAATCAAACAATTATCACCCCAGGCCGCAACCTTCCGGTGTAAGGGCGAGTTCTCAGCGCGCCTGTCAATCTAGATTTTGAGCCACTATTCTGCTCGATGCTGACCAAGCTCCTTCCTCCACTCGACGCATCACCAACACCCAGGGACATCTCTTCCCCAATCTACCACTTCTTCCAGACTGTACGCTAGTCATTTTCTTACTCACCAATCCCCTAGTGTGACGCCCATAAATTGCCGAACCTTGCATTGTGCCATTA